ACTTTTAACAATAGCTGAAGAGGAAACTAGACCTAGAAACAGAAAATGTAAGTAAAGAAGACAAAGTGAAAGTAGAAATGTTTACAACAAAAATCTTGATAGAGATAAAGTAAGTCTGCTTTTTAGGATTGTATTCATTCATTCAGTCGTTCAAACAATATTTAGTAAGCACCTGCTTTGCATCAGGCAATTGCTTGATGATGGAGTCACAGTGATCTTTAGAACAGATGTGGGTATGTGGGTTCACAACATATACTTTGTGTTTTTGTTGTTGGTTTTCGTTTTTGAGTCAGCACCTTGCTTTGTTGCCAGGCTGGAGTGCAGTGGGACTATCATAGGTCACTACGGCCTTAAACTCCTGGGCTTAAGTGATCCTCGTGCCTCAGTCTCCTGAGTAACTGGGATTACAGGCATGCACCACCATGCCTAGCTCTACAACATGTATTTTGTATTAAGTTATCGTGGCAGAACTAACTCCGTACAATTCTGAGTGCCAGAAAGGAAATGTGGGAAACACCCAAGAGGTCATGTCTGTTTTCAATATCAATGTAACGTAATCTTGCTCTGAAATCTCAGTGAGGCCTGGAAAGGAGAGCTATTTTCAGCCGAAAAAAAAATAAAGGTTTGGAATATCCGAACAGCACAGAAAATGACATGCCAACCTATCTCCTACTATGTATGTTACTTGCAACAAAGCAAATTTTTAAACATCTCATAAAACTGTGAAAGTGTAAAATCATGAGAAGTTTCTAGTAAGTGTAAACTACAAATAAAATTCTAAGGTTCCCCCCAACCATCTGAATGGACTTCCTCCTCAGCCGGGGCTCTTTTAAAATTTAACCTGAGAGACTGTTTCAGGCCATGATGGGAAGTGGGGGTCGAACATGACTCATTTTATTAGGTGGGTGCAAAGGTAATTACAGTTTTTCTCATTAAAGTAATGGCAAAAAAACACACCAAAAAAAACCAAAAAAAACCCGCAATTACCTTTGCACTAACCTGATAGCTCCTTGGCATTAACATCAACACAGACTTTAAGTCTGATAATGTGAGGGTTCAGTCAGGCTGGTGGGAAAAATTTTAGTTACAGAAAATATACACAAATCCTTTGGGAAGGCCTGAGGGCTTTTACATATAGCACTTGGCTGAAGGCAGCCATGTCCCCTTAGTTAAATAAATTAGAGTAGAAACAAAGAAATGTGGAGAGTTTACCTAACTAGCTTGTTTACTCACGTGGTCCTAAGACTAACTTTTGATCTACTGTGGATGCTTAATTGCCTTGTACTAGGGAAGTCTGCAATATCAATTACCCCTTAGTGGTGTTGACTCAAGCCTTTGTCAATTAATCTTTACTGAATAAATACGAGTCTCGCTGGCTGGTTGAGGCCGTGCTTTACAGCACTCTGCTTGGAGTCTGTAAGCGGCCTGGACGCTCAGCCGGACTGGCAAAGCAGAATATCTGTATGTCAGTGTACTTTATTCATCTGTCATTGGGTCAGGGTCTGTGGGACAGACCCCTGCATGATAAGAAACATTTTACAGCCTATTCTGTCTGAAGTCTACTACCTGAAGGCTTCCTTTGCAAATAAGAACTTGGATTTCCACAATCCTTTGTCTTAATCCAGACAGCCCTTTCTGTTGATCCTACGTCTTTAGACAAACTCAACCGTCAACCAGAAAATGTTTAAATTTACCAATAGCCTGGAAGCCCTTGCACTTCAAGTTGTCCCCCCTCTTTCTGGACTGAACCAATGTATTTCTTAAATGTATTTAATTGATGTCTCATGCCTCCCTAAAATGTATAAAACCAAGCTGCACCTCGACCACCTTGGGCACATGTTGTCAGCACCTCCTGAGGGCTGTGTCACGGGCCATGGTCACTCACATTTGGCCCAGAATACATCTCTTCAAATATCTTACAGAGTTTGACTCTTTTTTGTCAACATAAGTGAGGGAGGATACATGGAAGTTAGTGTGCATTATTTACTAAATTGAAATTTGCGAAATATTTCATATGTTATTATTCTGTATATTAAATGTACTTTGTTTTATTTCAAGCAATGTAAAGATAAGCGCTTTTAAAGACAGTTTTAATTGTTATCCCTCAAACCTATTTTCCCCACCAATTTGTGAATGTCTTAATGTAGATATTCTTCCTCCACTTGAGAAAGGCAACTTTCCCTTTCCTCATAAAGGCTGCACTTCCTGGGTTCTCAGGGTTGTAGTTGCCGTTGGGATCCAGGTAACCATCAGCTAAGAACCCTCCTTGGAGTGGGGCGGAGCATGGATGCTTCCGCTCTTACAACCGTGGATACCTAATCAGTTATTTTCAAGGTTGGGTGGTTGACTTTACCTGGGACCTGCTTCCTGAGGAGGCACAAGTCATCTTTGCTGGTACAGAGGCGAGGTGATGGAAACAGTCATTTTCTTAGAAGAATGTGAAGGTATGGCCACCTTGGAAAAAGCCCCTGAGGCCCCTGGTAAGGATCCTGCTGAAATATTGGATTCAGGGGAGAAGAGGAAGGTCCTACCGCTGTGCAACCTGCAGCAAGTCACACCCACAGAACTTCTGTTTAAACACTGCTTGTCTTTTAATAAAAGGAACCTATAAGTGGAATGTGAAAGAACCCCTTGGCAAAACAGCAATTATTAAAATAATAACTGGTTATGTTCAGGTATTCTCAGTTTTTAAATTCTATGTAATTGTGGATTACAAGAATAAAGAGACTATCTTTAGTGCTGGTTCACTGTATCATCAGTCAGACACTAGCCCTTCATGAATAGATTACTTATGGGGGCAGCCGAGAAGAAAAATGTGCGATGAATTGCCGGCAAAATCCACCGAGCACCAGGAATTCGTTGTGGAACATCCTTGATTGTCTTGGGAGGATTCCCATTCCAGGACAGCTAACACTTTTCTGGCAATATGCAGGTTTTGGAGGGAAAGATCAAGGCCCAGAAATTCCAGCTCCAGGACTCTCAGTTCTTGGAGCTGGTCCATCCGAGCCTGATTGTCCAAATGAGGTGATGATATAGCTGATTACCAGGAACACAGTGCGCAACAGATTTAAATGCATCAGTTCATAAAGGGTTCATAAGCAAAGTCACTATTCATAGAAAAAAAAAGAAAAACCTGCTATTTTATGAGATTTGGCAAAAATACACCAACAGTTATATTTTACAGTTAAAATTTTCAAACGATTCTTCCCAGAAACACTTTTTTTGGTTGTTAATCAATCATATTCATTTTATTAATGGTCTTTATTTCTTAGTCTTTTTTGCATGTTTGGATTTCTAATTGCTGCTGTTTCTTTAAAAAATAAAGGTCTTTTTCGTAAAGCAATACTAACTTGAAAAATCATCATCTCCCAGACACAGCTGCAAAGACCTGTTGCTGTCATGACTAATATATGAAGAGGAGAAGTGAAAGTTGAATTTACCAATTTTTTTCTCATAGTCCCAGTTTGGCTCGAACAATTGGTACTGTATTACTATTACCAACAAAAAGAAGCTGTTGGCCATTTTAAAAACTCTCATTCAGGACACAAGTAGGTCTTAAGAATCCTTGTTTCTTTTAAAAGAGTGAGTTCTGCAATCCAAAATATTTCCTTAGTTTAATTTACATATAGAGAAGTCCCTGTAGTGTCAGATCACAGCATAGCTGAGCATCACTGAACTGTATTTAGTCACGAGGTTTGATTATAACAACAGGGTGCTTCTTATGCAGTCCTGGAGACGTGGAAATTAAAATGCTAAGAAAATCCTATTTTAACAAGCCCACACAAACTCATGTATATTAAGCCTACTTGCCAAGTCTGTAAGTTACTCCATCAGAATAAGTTAAAGCATTTTTGGAATTTGATTAACTGTTTTAGATAAAAATAGTTCCCATTAACTTTTCTGCAAAATTAAATTGGGAATAAGACTAATAAGTATTATTTTGGGGGGCCAAGTGGAAGGTCTTCTGCTGACTGTTTTTTATTCATCAATCTCACCATCTCCCACCCCCAAAGAACGAATAAGGTGGCTATGCTTAGATGAAGAAGTAGAACCTCAGAAAGTTTATGTAATATGTTCCAAACCACAGCAAGTATCAGACAAAGCCAAGGTTCTCAAAGGTTGTTTTCAGAACTGTTATTTTATTGAAATTAACATTCTGTTGAATACTGTATGCTCAGCATGATGAGTTTCCCTATATTGTCTTTAAACTCTTCCCCCCACAAAATTATATGGAGTGGGGTTTACTGACATTACATAACGCGGTCAAGGTCTTGTGACTAGTAAGTGGTAAAACTGTAATTTAAATTGGAGCCTTTGACTTTAAAACCTTAGTATGTTTTTCTTATACCACAGTGTCTTAGTGGTTATCCAGTTCCCAAGAGGTAATATACTTTGGAAGAATCTGAAACATGTTAGAAAAAAGAGTAATTTGCCAAGGCTAGAGATGACCTCTTCAGGTTAGCTCTAAATATAGACATACACTTAATGCCATGGACCATCACATGCAACTGTTGGAGTCCTAACAGTCTTACCTTTACCTACATGAACTTAGGCAAGTCACTTACCCTCAAAGCTTATTTCCAACTTGGCTTGTTGAGAAAGCAGTAACAACTTCATAGGATTTTATTTGGGATTAAATAACATAATGTATGCAAAGCTCTGTACTCCACAAGAGACAGCAGATGGCAGTAGTCAAGAGCACAGATCCTGAAGCCAGCTGTTCAAATTCAGAGTCCAAATTCTGGATCTGCCACTGGCCAGCTTGGTGACCTTGGGCAAGTTTGTTTGCTGTATTCATCTGTGCCATCTGTGTCCTCACTGCTAAAACAGGGTAATGATAGTAATTGCTTAATGAGCCAGTATGTATAGGGTATTTAGAATAGTGCCTGGAACACTAAACAGTATGTAAGAGGGAGTTAAAAAAAAAAAAAAAAACCTATTTGAACGTAGTAGATGCTGAATTTTATTCTACAAACACTCAGGTGGATTAAAAATAAATTTTTAAACTTAAATTTTTGATCTTTGGAGGAAATTCCTGCATTGCCATTAGGGAAACGTCAAACGAAATCAGCAGTTCTAGAATGATGAATGTTTGAGTTACCCTAGTAAGTTCACTGGATTTGGGGGTAGGAGGATGAGGCAGAGAGGAAGGTGTTCAGAGTGTCTTTCAGATTTGGGGATTAGATAACTAGGTGTGACACTAGGAACTATTTCATACTGAGATGGGGAAGAGAAGAATTATGCATATGGGAATAATAAGAAGTGAAAGAACTAGCATTTGTAGCATCTCCCAAGTACTGGGCATTGTGCTAGGCACTTTGTATACAGAGTAACTCATTTCACTGTCATAACTACCCTTCGGGTTTTACTCTCTCTGTTTTTAGAGATCTGTGAAAATTTTTAAAGGTGTGTGTTTTGCCATATATGCAAGTGAATCAACTTGCCAGATAAGAGTTTGCTGCATAAATATGGTAAGAATTCTTCTTCTCCTGCCCCCTTCCCCCACCAAGCTCTGAATTTTCACATCAGTATTTATATTGCTATGTTAGTACTCTAACACTACTTTCACCAGAAAGTGACCCTTTTCTATTCTTGATAGTTAGTCCTTTAATACCTCCATAGACAAAGAACCTTTTGAGATGCCATGCAGGCTCTAACGTTCCGTAATAACTTGGAAATCTGTGATGGTTAGACAACTCTGTCCAGGAATGTCTTGGGAGCTATGATATTTCTCTCATACTCACATTAGACACAGACATACTATCATGGAGCTAAAATTCATGGTGTAACGATATTGCACATTGACCTCATAATGCTGTCTGTATCAATTTCAACATTAATATAATGTAACTGTTTCCAGGTGGAAGCAAACCAACTTGTATACCTGTTTTTATTCCAATCTTCTGAAAAATGCATGCCATCTGTATTACCTCCAACTTTTGGGAACAAAATACATTAAGCAGAACCTCAGATAGTCAATAGAATCTGTGTCTTTTTCAGGATGTTTCTGAACTCTCTAAAATAAAACAAGTTTTGAATTATAGAATCCATACATTTTTCAAACACAAGCACCACCAGAGGAAATTGCTATTAATTTTCAAAACTCACTGTTATGCAGATATTTGGTGGAATCACATGAATGTTCAACTATCAGCACTTTCAAGTGGTTTCACCTAGTAGATCAAGTAGTTTGTAAATCTCAGGCAACATTAACATAATTTTTTTCAATCCCTTTGCATCATTCTTTTTCTTTTTCTTTTTATTTATTTTTAATTTTTTAATTTTTTTTTTTTTTGAGAAGGAGTTTCCCTCTTGTTGCTCAGACTGGAGTGCAATGGCATGATCTTGGCTCACTGCAACCTCTACCTCCTGGGTTCAAGAAATTGTCCCGCCTCAGCCACCTGAGTAGCTGGGATTACAGGTGCCCACCATCACGCCCAGCTAATTTTGTATTTTTAGTAGAGACGGGGTTTTGCCATGTTAGCCAGGCTGGTCTCCAACTCCTGACCTCAGGTGATCAATCTGTATCAGATCCCCACAGTGCTTACACCACGCCTGGCCCCTTTGCATCATTCTAAAACCATCTTTTCATTCTGATGGATAATTGCAACTGAAAACTTTCTAAACTTTACTAAGTATTTATTGCTACTATTTACATTTTTAATTATACTACTATAATTTTCTTTCTTACTATGGTAAGAAAGCTATTACTGATGACTAGTGTAATCTCTATTGATATTTACAATTGATATTTTTGCTCTTTGGTTTTAAGATAAATTCTTGACTGCGTGAATATCAATAATAAAAAGATTTTTCTGCCTGTGTAATGTTTCAAGGTTTTCAGCATGCTGTGCAAAAATTACCTTGAGCAATGCCTAGGACGCTCCATTGTAGGCAGGCATTATTATCACTCCAGTCCTTATACTAGACACTAGGCAAGCAATACCCATGTCACCTGGGTGTGGTGGCTCACGCCTATAATCCCAGCACTTTGGAAGTCTGAGGTAGGCGGATCACCTGAGGTCAGGAGTTCAAGACCAGCCTGGGCAACATGGCAAAATCTCATCTCTACAAAAAGTACAAAAATTAGCCGGGCATGGTGGCACATGCCTGTAATCCCAGCTATTCAGGAGGCTGAAGCAGGAGAATCGCTTGACCCCAGGAGGTGGAGGTTGCACTGAGCTGCCATTGCACCACTGCACTCCAGCCTAGGCAACAGAGCAAGACTTCCATCTCAAACAAAACAAAACAAAACAAAAAAACAACAATTAAAAAACCATCTTACGGAAGAAGAAACAGAGGCTCAGGAGGTGACCAGCTGTGAAGGGGTGTGGCTGTACCCAGATCTAAATAGTCACAGCTGATTACATGTATTCACTACATCTTTGTTAAGCAACCTGTCCAGGAGTGACTCAGTTATTGAAAAAAGTGCATTTCAGTATCATGCTCTGAATAAGACATTGCTCTTAGGATGCAGAATCCCTAGTTTCTTTCTCTCCTGTGTGCTCTACATAAATCCAGACCTTCTCAGGTGGCTTCCGTACCACAGTGAAGAGGAAGCTTATGGCCTCAGCCAGGTGTGGGCCCTGCTCCTCCACCAGGCTAACCTTCAGGGCTGGCTTGGTGCCTAAGATAGCCCACAGCTTGCTGCCCCTCAGCTGCTAGCCCAAAACCAACAGCAAGAAAGCAGACTGTAATGTGGAGGAAACTTTTTTTTTTTAATGAAATTTTGTTCCTAGGAGACTCTAAAAATTAATACTTTATTCTACTGTTCTTTTTGGTTATGTAAGATTATTTTCCAAAATGCTGGCAGCAGTTGTCTTCTGTATTAACTAATTTTCTGTTGGTGATTATCAGCATGGTGGAAAGGCAGGATTGGCTAAATCGGGGCTTTCTGCTCTTTAACATGCATACACATCCTCTGAATATTTTTTAAAAATACAGATTCTGATTCAATAGGTCTAGGATGACACCTGAGAGGCTGCATTTCTGGAAATATCCAAGGGACTGGTCCACAGACCACACTTTGAGTGGCATGGAACGAAAGTGTTTCAAACAGTCCTTGTATCTGCCTGATGATCTGTGAGAATAGGATCAGTCTAAAGATTAGTAATGATTCTTTTTTCTGAAAACAATAACAACCAAAATGATTTCTAGTTGATTTTATTTTTCCCTATTTACTTTTTCTATGAGAGTGTGAGAATTAAATGGAATTCTCTCTCCTAGTGTTTGGGAATAAATCAGGTGTTGAGTTAAATAAGCGTGTCTCTCTGGCTGTCTCTCTCTCTCTCTCTCCCCCCACCCCGTCCCCTTTTTCTCTGTCTCTCTCTCTTTCTCTCTCTGAACTCTAGAGAAATGCTGAGCTGCTGCCTTTTGGTCCTCCCCCTTCTCTGAATTTTCCCATCTACTCTTCTCTGCCTTTGCTTGATCCTTTTTCCCCCCATAAAGATTTGGGGTTTTTATTGACTGGAGACAGATTTTGGCAAGAATGCCCCAGTTATTTTAGTTTGTGCAGTTGGTCACATTCTTTTGAAATTAGCCTGAAATTAGATTACTGCTCAAGATAGCCGTGAAATAATATCAGCGCTCGGTATTTAATTCTGAATTATCTGGCAATGCTGAATCAGCTCTGCCAAAATGGACATGGCCAAGGTCTCAGCAGTGATAGTGTTGCAGCCTGTTGGGTTTTTTGTTGTTGTTGTTGTTGTTTTTTACTTTTTATTTTGAAACAAATACTATAAGAAGATGCACAAATAATAGTTTTGAGTGTACATCATCCAGCTTTCCTCAAAGATAACACCTTACATAACCATAGTACATTATGAAAATCAGGAAACTAGCTTTGGTACGTATTATTAACTAAACTACAGACCTTATTTTGATTTTACCAGTTTTTACACGCACTCTTTTTTTGGGGTGGGGGAGGGTATACAGTAGTATAAAGTTTTACATATCTGTATCTAGATTTATGTAACCACCATCACAATCTTCCTGATTGCTAAAAGTTGGTGTTCTCCAGGATTCTCTCCTGAACACTATTCCGTTTTCATTCTCCACATTGTCCCTGGGCCCTCTTATTGGTAATGGTGACTGTAACTATCTTTTCTATTTGGATAATTCTCAAATGTATAACCTTAACCTCTGTTGAGCTCTATACCTCACCATTTCCTGGCCTACTTCCGGACACCCACTGACTATTTTATCTGTCCCATGAGCTCCAACACACCCAAAATTGAACCTGTATTCCTTCATTTTTAAACTAAATAATCTCTATTTGAGGGATTAACACTTTGTGGTCCAAGTCAGAATTCCCAGGGATCACCTTAGAAGCATCCAGTCTCCCTAATCCATCTCCACATAATAAAAACAGCCAACGCTCCTAGAGCAGGTACATGTGCCAGATACTGTCCCACACCCGCTCGAGGGATCAGCTCACTTTGTTCTGATGGCAGTCCCACACTTTGTCAGAAAGGAATCCAAGTTTCATGAAGCCTGAAACTCGTATAGTTTCCTGTCCCATTAAAGAAAAAGAATAGGAGGTTACAAATATTAGAATTAGTATTTATCAAGGGAAATATTTGGGCTAGTGCAAGTGAGGGGCCCTGAAAATTGACCTTCACTAGATTCATAATCTATCTGCCTTTGAGATAAATGCTATTCTTCTTGCCATTTTACAGTGAGACAATCAAGGAACACAAAATTTGCAAAAGTTAACTTGACCAAGGTCCTCCTGTCACAGGGGCCTCATTACCTCTTGCTGTGTTTTAACAGAGGCCTCGTATGTGACCTCTCTGCTGTTAATCAGCCCCCTTCGTCCATTCTCCACAATGACCCCAGAGGGATCTGCACACAGGGCCATGTCTCTCTCCTGATCCAAAGCTATCACTGGTTCCTGGTCTCTTTTAGTATAAGAGCTAAACTGTTTTTGCATGACTCCCTGGCTGTCCCCTCTGACACTGGAGGTTGCATGATGCTGAACTGCTAGGGGCTCCCGCCAGTGCCCCACACTTCCACTTCCTACTCCTTTCTATGTGCCCTTCTGCTGCCAGGACTGCTGTTCTCCCATCTCCTCTACACACTGCACTCGATCATTTTATCCAAAGTAGAAATTGCATTATTGGTTATTTTTAGCTTATAGGAGCAACAGATGGTTAAAGTAAAAAAAAAAAAAAAAATCATATAATGCAAAGAAAAAAAAAGCACAAAGAATTGAGTAAAAACTACCAGATCTGTGGCCCCATTTTTTGGGATGAACCACCATTAAGTGTATAGTATATATACTTTTCATTTTTCCTGCTGTGTGTGGGTGTGTGTGTGTGTGTGTGTTCTAGTGTATAAAATTGGGATATGTTACTATGTTACTGTTACTCTTTTTCATGTTTATTAATCTTCCAGACTTTTCTCCAAAATGTTTTTCTTTTTTTTTTTGTTTTTGCAAATCTCTTAGATTACTAGGAAAGCCAAGTCTCTCCTCCTGGATGTCTTCTCCTGTAAACTGCCTATTGAGACCTACCCACTTCTCTATGGAGCATAGATGAAGGATATTGGTCATGTATGTTGAAATATTTGTCCAACTTCATCCCTAGTTTTTTGACTATGTAAGGATGAGGAATTTTAATGTGTATATACTTGTAGATGCCTTTAGAACAATGATCGTATCTTTTTTTATCTCCATTGCTCCAGCATCTAGTACAACGTCTGCAATGGAACAGGCAAGCTGTGAATATTTGTGATATGCTTGGGTGGACTAAAGACCCATCGCCTCTCTCTAGAGTGCCCAGCATGTTGGAGGTAAGAGCTCATCTTCTGGTCTCTTTACCCCTTCTCATACAGAGCCAGACACCAAATCCTGCAGATTCAACCTTCAAAATGTCTTTACACATCCCACAACCACCACCACTCCCAGATTTATCATTTCTCACCTGGATTCCTGCAGTAGCTTCCTCTCTCTGGTCTCTCTAAGCTAACGCTTTCTCTATCTGTGACTGGGGTTTTCTAAAACACAATCTGTTCATTTCATTCTCCTGCTTAAAAACCTTGAATGACTCCATAGTGCCTGGAGGAGAAACCTAAATACTTTAGAAAGAAGTTCAAGGCCCTTCCATAAAATCTGGTCCGACTTCCCTACTAAGCCCCGCCTCTTTTTCTTCTCTCTCTTTACATCTTCTATTCTCCAGCTGTGCCACACTTTCAGCTCTTCTGGAACAGACCTTATATTTCACAACTCTTTGCTTATTAGATCCATCTCAAATGTCAGACATTCCATGGAATCTTGTCCTGTCTGTCTATCAAAATTATCACCCTACTATTACCACCATTAGCACCACCATCCTTACCTGGTATACCTCCCTCTATCCTCTACACTTCCTCATTAATTCAAAGATAAGTTTATATTTCTCTCCCTATTTCAACTTCCTGCCTCCATAGAAATGATTTTCTGGTTCAGCAGTTTCAATGAATCAATCAAATATTTGCACACCTGTTATGTGCAAAGTACTGACTCCATTTCTGATACTCAACTCACTTTTCAGTTGAAATTTTGAGTGCAGCTGAGTTCTGAAAAATCATTAGTTTATAAGAGTCTGAAAATACAAGCATTTATAAAAATCTTGGGGGACCTCCTTTTCCGGCTTTGGAACCCCCCTCCGTCTGTCTCTGAATGGGGGAGCTTCTTCTTTCTGTCTTCTCCCTTCCTTCTTGCCTATTAAACTCTCCACTCCTTAAAACCATCCCACATGTGTCTGTGTCATTTTATCGAAACCGGCATGAGGACCAAGAACTGTGGTGTTCCTCCACTCATCAGGGCCCAATCATTTTAGTGCATGCGCGGAGAAGGGAAATTCAGTAATCAGACTGAAGCAATCAAACTCCAACTGGTGCTGTAAACTGAACCACACATGGACCCGCCATTCTTCTGAGGACTCTTAGATCTACCCCAGGAGGAGGGCTAGCTGCTGTTACCCATTCAACACCCCTTTTCAGCAGGAAGTAGCCAGAAAGAGTCGCTCCCCCAAACCCACTAACTGCTAGCAGGTAGTGTGGCATCTCCACAGTGGGGAGTGTTGTAGGAAAAGGGGTTCTTGGGAGGTTTTCGGTTTTTAAAGCATCTCCAGAAAAGTTTCCTGTAAAGCCCCGGCTCTCAGAGCCAGGTCAGCAACCTTTGATATGCAAATACCGGCCGTTAGAAACTGGGTCCACCCCAACGTGGAGGCCTTCTTGCCCTTTCCCCACATGTTCCTGGCAACATGGCCGCCCCCACATATCCTCACATGTGTAGAAAATCATGGCACCCTGTATTTGCATATTAAAAGGATAGGGTGGGAGGGCCAGCTTTTTCATAGGCTTCATGAATGACATGCCTAGTCAAACCAATCCCCTGAGCCCTATGCAAATCAAACACCGCCTCCTCCAGCATCTGCATGTATACCTGGCTGGTATCCGTGGCAAGGTAGGAACCTCCTGTTTTGGCTTTGGAGACCCCTTCCCTCTGTCTCTATACAGGGGAGCTTCTTCCTTCTGTCTTACCCTTTCCTTCTTGCCTAATAAACTCTCCACTCCTTAAAACCATTAAAAAAAAATCTTAAAATAATTAAGTTGAGATGAAAAAAGCCTTGTAAACTTCTCTTGGAACAGAAGATATGAAGCAAACAAGGAGGTAGATGGCAGTGTATTCCCAGCCTTGTTAGCTAAGCAAGTGAGCGGGAAGCAGGGTTTCTATTCACCAGTGATACATTCTCACTCACTGTGTGATGATTCAGTCATCTGGCACAGCGTCCTCTAGTTCAATTAAAATATGTCTGAGTTTTGGTCTAAATATAGTAATAGACACAAATATTAAAATCATTTTTTCCTAAGCTTTTCAAAAATTATATATTCTCAGGATACGATGGATAGTCATTTGCCTCTGCAAATTTAAGGCACACAATTTATTTGTGTGTTCCCTATTCTCATTGCAACATGCTTTGGGCTGAATATAAACAAGAAAAGGATTCAATATGCATACATTAATATTAGTAAACCTTTGCCCCTAGTAAAATGATCGTGACTATAAAACTTTAAGGCTTATCATTTTTCTTTCAAGGAAACAGTCAAGCATATTTTAAACATGTCAACAAAAAGTAAATTCTTTCATTTGCTCATTCCTTTCTCCCTTCCAGCATGTGAAGCACTATATGAGCTGCTGAGGATACAGGGATAAACAACAACACAGGTGTGTTCTTTGCCCAAACCAGGCATAAATGAGCTTCCAAATGAACACAAACAAATCTGGAAGGCTTTTGAGGAAGAAGGACCATTACAAAAGGTACAGAGCGAATGTGTTGAGATCATGTTTATCAATCACTGAAGTAACTATTCTCCACAATTTCAATGATTCTCCAGCCAATATACTATTACCCCTCCTTATTAAAATAAAAACGAAAAACCCTACCAATAGAAAGCTGCCTTTCCTAGTAGATTGCATGCAAGTCATACTGTTAACTAGAACTTAAGATACCTTGTTGATTTAATCAGTAGGTTACTATGGGTAAATTCAGTATTAAGAGAAGTGAGGCTATCAATATTACAGATATGTCTTGCATTTTTCCAATCAGTCATTTCTTGAGCTAACATTAAAAATCTTAATATATTACACTTTATGTTTTTTGAGCACAAATATAACAATTTGAAAAATCAGGTAGCTGGGCACGGTGGCTCACGCCTGTAATCCCAGCACTTTGGGAGGCTGAGGTGGGCGGTTCACAATCTGGAGATCAAGACCATCCTGGCCAACATGGTGAAACCCCGTCTCTACTAAAAATACAAAAATTAGCTGGGTGTGGTGGTGCGTGCCTGTAATCTCAGCTACTCGGAGGCTGAGGCAGGAGAATCGCTTGAACCCAGGAGGCGGAGGTTGCAGTGAGCTGAGATCGTGCCACTGCACTCCAGCCTGGCGACACAGCAAGGCTCTGTCTCAAAAAATAAAAAATAAATTTAAAAATTGCAGAACATTTTCTTTTAATAATGTGATTTTTGTCATAAGCTATTGATTTTCTTCCAGGGTCATTTGCTTCCCATCTTTCTTCCAAGTGTCATCATCTTATGTATTTCACTTTTTATAAAACTTTAAACAGCAAGAGGCCATGCAAAATGAAAAAAGCTAACTTGTATTAATTCATTTAGTCCCTTAAAAGCTGTATCAGAAGCTATAGTTGAAAAAATAGTAGAGTTATTAGGAGTGTTGCAATGCACTCCTAAATGCCCTATAACTGATATATTAGTCTTATACTCTTCTTAATCATATATAATGATCTTAGTACTAGCAGACGTCTAAGGTCTAAGATGGCATTTAATACAATTTTGTCTCCAAATTCTGCTGTGGTTTCATCAATGCCTTTTTGTCAGCTCTGAGTTTAAATTTTAATCTGGAACCATAACTGATTTATCCCAGCTGCTGACAACTGCCTGGAATCTGGTTTGGAGCATCTCCAAAGCCAACGTACTTTCCCCCAAGAAAACACAGGAAGATCTCTCTGCCCAGGCTTGAAAATACATAAGGATCCGGTTTTCCATCCTTAACTTTAGGGCAACTTTAACATGCTTCAATGCCCACTGACTGCCTTTACTCCTATAGGTAAAGTAATAAACAAAGCAATCAACTCTCAGGAGCTCTCTCTTTTGTCTGTTTTATGTGGCCATTTTCCTTCATTGCCCTCTCACATTCACTCAGTAATCCACCAAATATTTATGGAGCCTTCATGGTGTGCAAGGCAGTGAACTCCACACTAGGAAGAGTGAAGCCATGGAGATCACAGGCCTGGCTCTTCATACCTTTGCCTTTCTGTCGAATTGAACTTTCTGTTAAGTTTAAAATACACAACAGAACTTTGATGATGTTGAGGCCTGGTCGGGGATGGGACAGATAACCAGCCCTTAAAAATAAAGCTCCTCCAGCCCCGCCGAATACCTTCTGAAAGAAGGAGGGTTATTATAGAGCATAAATAAAACAGTAGTGATTAATAATGATAAGAAAGTTTATCTCTTTACTCACTCAAGAGCAATCCTTTTGGGGCAAATCACTTATGATTTCCTTCCAGGATTGAAGAGAGCATGCACAGACGGAAGGTGGGGGCTGGTGCTGGTGCTGAGCCTGGCATGGGGAGGGAGGAAACAAGAGTGAAAAGACTCTTTCATTCTTCTGGCAAAGGCAGCCTTGCAGCTGGGGCCACGGTCTGCGGTGCTGATCCATCTGCTGGGCAGTCGCCTCCCAAGAGAGCCTATGTTCCTCCAGTCATGCGTATCTTAGCACCAGTCTCTGGCAGGAGCCAGGAGATGGGGAAGACAATTTAAATGATTCACATAACTTCAAAAAATGTGGATAAGCCCATATTTTTCTCCCAAACCAAGAATATCTACTCAATCTAAACTCTTACCTGAGATCTCTCTTCCTCAGACCCAGCGTCATGAACTTGCCGTCTAACCTGGCAGGTCAGTAAAACCTTACCCCTTTCAGGTCCTCATCTGTAAAATGAGAAGGTGGCAGCAGAGGTTCCGAAGGCTCCTTCCAAATGAAAACAAATACGCTTTTTACATCAGTAGAATTTCAATGGACTCACACTTGACTCTGAAAGAGAAAATAAAAAATTATTTGTGTTTCTGTTGGCCCTTTCCTGTCATTTTAGCTTACTTATTTCTACTTATTGACCCCATTTTTGTGTTTCTTATTTCTTCTATTAACACCACTAGATTAAACCAAGCAAAAATTTAAAGATTAATATCCTTTAAAAAAATTTCAGACATATAAAACACACACACACACACACACATACACACACCCTGCATGTAGACGAAGCAGCTAGAAATGAAAGCCTAACTGAAACATAATTCCAGTGGTTCTCAAACTTTAGCAGGCATTAGAATCACCTGAAAGATTTTTTAGAATGCATATTGCTGGGCATCAACCCAGAGTTTTTAATTTACTAGGTGAGGTGGAGTCCCAAAATTAACATTTCTTACAGGTTCCAAGTAATACGATGTTGCCGGTCTGGGACCACACTTTGAAAAACACTGCTTTGTAGCACAGCTTCCAAGAGACTCCAGTGTGTGTTCTGTGTGTATCTTCTCTATGTATGTGTGTTCTGTATGCGTGTATGTACAGTACACGAATCTCCAATGTATATTCTTCTCTAATCCCTTAAAGTCATGATGTGCCTCAGGCCATAGTTTCTTCTCTCTGCTGATTGTCAGTTGTCACCAAGTTGAGGTGGCGTGGCATTTTCCCTTATGTCAAAACGCTTTCCATCTATTCCTAACTGATTGCCTCCTGATTTCTTGGTTCCCTTGACTATTTCATTGAAAGTATCTCAAACCACTGTAAAACTTGCATTTTAACATCTAGCATGACATTTTCCCTTTGTTTAGTTTCATTTTCATGTCAGATTAAGAACTCCCACCAACACACATTCTCATTTAATCCCCCAGCCATTGTGATCTAAAACTCTTTGCCAGAAATTCTGCATGCCCAGAAGACACACACACACTCGCGCACACACACACACGCACACACACACACAAAGAAAGAGAGGCCACTCAAGTCAGGGTAACAAGGTGGAGCCTTTGCAGTGCATTTAGCTAATGCTAAGAGAGATGCAGTATAATGTAGTTGTACCAAGTTTCCATCTTTGCCTTAAGCAAGATATGAGCCTGAGATTGTAGAAGAAAGGACTCTGTAAACAGATTTATTTCATGATATTTGGGTAGACAGTTCTTGTTAACATAGAACAACTTTATACTAACTATAGGAAATGTTTTTCAATAAATTCTCCTTGACAATCAATGTGTTCTCAGGTTCTTATCTTCTGAGAGAGATCTATAGAATAAATTATTCTGGGAAGTGTATGGTATGGCACATAAAGAGGAAGGAGTGGTTATTTGTATGAAATAAAAATTGTAGATACTTACATGACTTAATCTCTGTTAGAGTGCCAACATTAAAACTAAGTAACGATTATGTGGGCTTATTAGCAGTCCTCTCCAAGGTGAGGAAACAAGATCTGTTCTTCAGCACTGTCTTCTGCTACCTGCTTGCTCCTTCCCATCTCCCTTTCTGCCTACACAGAGGGTCTTGTCATTTAGCAGGAAGAAAAACAACTCAGGAGCCCTGAAGCAGAGGGCTGCTGCTGTTGCTGGTGATTGATGGGTCTGGGTAATTTCACCTCTGGTGTCAAAAAGATTTAAGTTTCACTTGCAAGCTACTTGCTGAAGCCAGCCATCTATCTCAGCCCTACCAAGTTTAGCCCACTCTTAGCCCTCAGGGGCATTAGGCATTTCTTTCCCATTCACAGTTATCTATGACTTTTTTTCTGGTTGCACATGTGTTTGTAGCATGTGGTATGTTTCTGCATGTATGTGTATGTGTGTGTATCTGGAGTGAAGATAACTGAGCTTCTGGTCTCACTAGCCTAGATAGAACTTCAAGCCTGCCTTTAAAATGGCCTATGTCAAATAATTTTTTTAAAAAGCTACTTACTTAATGACATCTTTAACACTTCAGATTTCTGTACATATCTATAATAGCTTACTGCTATGGTTTGGCTGTGTCCCTATCCAAATCTCATCTTAAATTCCCACGTGTTGTGGGAGGCACCTGGCGGGAGGTAATTGAATCATGGGGTGAGTCTTTCCCATGCTGTTCTCATGATAGTGAATAAGTCTCACGAGATCCGATGGTTTTATAAGGGGGAGTTTCCCTGCACAAGCTCTCTCTTTTTGCCTGCTGCCATCCACGTAAGATGTGACTTGCTCTTCCTTGCCTTCCACCATGATTGTGAGGCCTCCCCAACCACGTGGAACTGTAAATCCATTAAACCCTTTTTCCTGTATAAATTACCCTGTCTTAGGTATGTCTGTACAGCAGCATGAAAATGAACTAATACACTTACTAAAGATATTCTACTGTCCCACAAAACTTATTCGACACATTGCCTCGACTGTAGAAGCTCTGTTGTGAATTATGACTGTGGGCAGGAGCTATAGTGTTACTCTGTGACTTCTGTTAGTATAGCTTGGTGGAGATCAGAATATTAATTTGTAGATTTCTTATGTTTTATTATTTATTATTTGTTTATTTATTTTTTAAGACAGGATCTTACTCTGTCACCCAGGCTGGAGTGTAATGGGAACTCACCACAGCATTGACCTCCTGGGCTCATGTGCTGGGCTCACCACAGCAGTGACCTCCTGAGCTCCCATCTGAGCCTCCTGAGTAGCTGGAACTACAGTGCTCACCACCACACCCAGCTAATTTTTGTATTTTTTGTAGAGATG